CCCTTTGGGGTTCCCTTCCAAGTGAGCATACAGGATGAAGTGCCCTCTGGGGTTCCCTTCCAAGTGAGCATACAGGATGAAGTGCCCTTTGGGGTTCCCTTCCAAGTGAGCATACAGGATGAAGTGCCCTCTGGGGAGCCCTTCCAAGTGAGCATACAGGATGAAGTGCCTTTTGGGGTTCCCTTCCAAGTGAGCAATCAGGATGAAGTGCCCTTTGGGGTTCCCTTCCAAGTATGCATATAGGATGAAGTGCTCTTTGGGGTTCCCTTCCAAGTGAGCATAAAGGATGAAGTGTCCTTTGGGGTTCCCTTCCAAGTGAGCATACAGGATGAAGTGCCCTTGTGATGGAGAGAAAAATATCTCTGCAGGCTGCCTTTCCAGTAAAGAAAATTAGATAAGGTTGCCCACTATGAGATGCAGTGTGATGACTGGCTCGAATCTATACTCGACAAAACATTAGACATGAAGACTACATCAACATACATCATGTACCATTCTACTAGTGGGGGGAAGGGGGTGCCTGACATGCAGTAGGTGCTCTTTCTACTTTTTTGCCCCAGCCCTTCAAACAGCCCGAGTCTGTGACTGATCACCACGATGGCTTGCACTTAGCTCTCCATTATCAGGTCCCCCCCCCCGCCACACACACTGTATTCACTATCTGCCCTTCATGGATCCTCCCCTCAAAAGCAGGAGAGACCAGAAAAATCCAGGGAGCTTCCTGTCACTGGGAGAAATTCCACATGACATTACAACACAAGGCCCCCACAAACCTGCCCTCCTTTTCACACACCCAGGAAAACCCCTCAGACCACCCCACACACACACACATCAACCACTGTCCTGTTCCCCTTTTTTGTGTTTATCTCTCATATTCACATATCCCCTCCATTAGTCCCTCCCTCTCCCCCTCTGCGACTGGCCGGCCTGTTAATTCGGCCCCTCTTGTGCCGGGATATCGCTTTACCCTGGACAATGGGCATGGCCGATGAAAGGATACCCGGCCCAGCAACGAAAGTGTGGCCCCAGCAGGGGGGCGCACCCTCCGTCCCATGACCCCCCCCCTCCCCAGAGCACCATCAAAAGCTCAGCCCTCTGCTGATCACCCAGAGAATAGGACTGTGAGCTTTTTGAAGCCTTTGTATGGAGAGGATTTCAGCATAATCACACAGTACTGCCTCTTTTCAAACCGACTTCATTGTTATTGTAAAGAAAGGAGTTGGGGTGGGGGGCTGGTGTTGACCATGCAATGCCCCCAAATTCACACCAACAGGTAGAAAAAGTTACATATCAATGAGACCTTTGAACCCACCGCTTCAGCCAAGGAACTCCACGGGGCCAAGAGCTGCAGTCCATAGTAATACCTCCATCAATCCATCCATCCAGCTAACCTGACTATGCTCTCGGGGAATTCAAGAAAACTACCTGAGCTGAATTCAGCACTCTTTTACCTTCAATAGGCAGATTAATTTTGAGAAACTGATTCATGTTTTTATTACCTCTCAACTTGACTACTGCAGTTCCCTGTATTTTCAAGTCCCCCCCCCCCCTCTCCTCTCTCTCTCTCTCTCAGTCTCCAATCAAAGTCAGTGTCTCCAATTAATGGCTCAGTCTAAGTCTCTGTCGCCGGTGCTTTGCACAATCACACAGATCTCCCCAGACCTCCTGCCCCCCAATCGTGGCACTATATTCAGTGTGCTTTAGCCACACTATATTCTCAGTGGGGTGCTGTATACATTTATCTTTCTGGAGGGGGCTCTAATTCTGCTAAATCCCTCAGCAAACAGCAGCATGGGACCGATAGCCCCTTACCCTCCCTCCAGACAGCCACCTTTTCAAGCACTTTCCGTGTGGCCCCAGTCCATCCTTTGGGCAAACAGGTTAAACCGAGGAGGGCTGGGGGTGGGACATGGAGGGCGAGGGTAAAGGTGCGAGGGGGACAGGAGGTGCAGTTCTGAAGCAGGATTAGGTGTTTTAAAGTCAGCCTGTCAGTGTCAGCTGGAGGAACGCTCAGTCTGCGCTCCTCAAATACCATCTGTCATGGCGGAAGGGACGCTGGGAGGAGGTGTCCGCTGTTTTAAGGACCATCGGTCCCCCCGCACATTGGCGCGATCCGCCCGTCCACTTTCCTCAGGTAAAGCCGTCACTCAGAAAAGTGAGGAAAAAGTTAAGCTGCCAAAAAGCTCCAAGTAGCCCGGAAATACCGGTATTCCGAAGGAATCCTTTCGAACTCCAAGTTCTTACCGCTGTCTCTATCAAAATATATTACATGGTGTTTGTCATTTAAAAGCAACGAGTATTAAATTAGTCTCCTTGGGAATTTAAGGCATAATTGCTTTCACTGCACTGCGGTCTTTGATGTTCTCGACTGAACATGATCAAGTTGGATTCATACACTGTAAACAACACTAAATAAAACACAAATTATTGCTAAGACGTAGATATTTTCTTTTGCTCCCCCAGAACAGCAGCGCTGATATAATATCCAGTTTACATTATAGCCTTAAGACTAGATGCTAGGATCGTCATAATCTTCTTACGTAAACTTATAGGTTATGCCTATTTGCTTTACTCGATCAATTTGCTTTTTAGTCATACCCTTTGGATATATTTAATAAATGGATGGACGGAAAGACGTTGTTTAAAAAATAAAAACGTATTCCGTCTTATCCAGAAGGTGGCGCTCCAGCACTCAAAGTAAAATCTTCGTTTTAACAGATAATTCAATTCAATTGAATATTTTGTTCCCGCCAGCACTACACAAACACAAACTACGTATAAAACCAAGATTCTGCTGATTTTATACTATGTAAGTTTCTTGTGTTTGGTCGCAGAATCATAACGATTAATACAATGGAGTAAATCAAATATATGACCGATATTATTATAACGATTATTAATTTCGAATCATTACGTTTTCTTACGGTTTTGCTCAGCTGAGACAGACACTAAACTAAACACTCTCTATATTTAGTCGAAAACTACAGGCCTACCTTACAACCTAAACGTTTATTTTAAACCTAATCGTGTGTTTTGAACTTCGAGGCGAGCGCCACGGGCACCTTGTGCAGTCCTGGTGACTTTACGTGCGGCCTCATTGACAGTTGTGACGCCTGTAAATCGTATACATGTATATGAAGGCTGCATAGGCGCACAATGAGCGGCTCCCTAGCTGCTGCCACTCATCGCTTCGCGGCTGATGTGTGCCTGAATAGGGCTCAAACGCCCGCTTTATGCCTCTTTGTCCCGGGTGGTGTCTGAAGTTTTTTATTATGTAAAAAACGATTCTGGCCCTTTGAATGGAGTTTCCTGGTCCTGCGACCTCGCTCCCAAAACTATCCTTGCATCTGCGCCCAGACCCCGAGCTCCTACATATTTATGAGCCATTTAAGCGTACTGGAATGTCAACACACCTCCACACGAACCGCCCACCTCTCCAGACAAGATCAATTTACTATCTGAATAGGGTAACCTTTTTGGATGCGAGATATTGCACTAATTGATCTGCACTCACAGATTACCACGCCCCCCACTGCCGCCCCCAGGGTCGCGGAAAGGATTCAAGACAGAAGTTAGAAATTTTATATGAAAGTGTGTGGTGTCTGAATCACTGCTCGGATTATTGTCGCGATTTTTTTTCTGAATGTTGGTATTATAAGGGCTGAAGGTTGGCCGTCGTAGTTTTAGTAATTCGGCGCGCTAATTTATGTCGTGCAATCGGAACGCATTTAATTTATTGTGCACACACATTCTTGTATGCATTGGCACCCAGTCTGTACCTACTTCTGTCCGGTCTCTGAAGTAGGCCTAGAAAGCGTTCCCTATTCACTGGGAGCTCCCATACATCCAAAAGCAATAAATGAAAGTCTAATTAAACTAATAAATCTTAAAAAGGGACAGAACCAACCAATTATGTCCGATAGGTACACCTAATTAGCCACGTATGGCCCATAGGTACACCCAATTACGCAGAGCAGTCGATCATCGCAAGAAAAAAAGCACATTGTTTGGGGTAAACTATTCGAGTCTAATGTATGGCTATTTGCACTCAAGGCTGGTAATGTAAGCAGGCTATTATAAAACGCGTAGAGTAGATAATACAAATCGATGACGGACAAGCTCGTAGGCGTTTTTTAAAAGTAATTAATTGTTTAGTAGAAGTATCCACATTAATGCTAAACATAAAATCGTTTCGGAAAAATATCTAACAAGCTGTGTATTTGACAATCAGGACCTATGAACGTTTCTTTTTCTTTGCAGTTTCAACTTCCGTAACAATTGAATTGAAATATAAAATGTAAGTGGCTGTATTTTAAAAAAATGCATCATTAACAGTGATTGTCTATGTGGGCTGTGTAATGATTTATGTTTATATGAATCAGTGTGTTTCTGTGTGGAATATGTTTATTAAATGTATTGAACAGAGGCATTCAAATGCAATCGTTCTGCACACGATTTCAATAGACTAAGTGACAAAAACGGTATTTCTGGAGACTAATCGAGGCAAAAGCCGGAGTTCAGTAGCGCAGTAATGAGCTGGTCCAGGTCGTGCGCGAGCGCCCGGAGTGAGGCGTCCTCTCCTTATGGGAGCGGAGGGGGGAGGTCGGGCGACCCTCCTCGGCGCTGGTGATTACGGCCCAGCTAATGAGGGCCACGAGTGAGCGGGGGTCCGTTAAACAGACATCGATCACCCTGTCAGACAGTGCCACACCCCGCACCGGCCGGGGCTCCGTGACGTCGAACGGAAGGCATTAAAAGCTCCGACCGTCGGCGCTCCGTCAATCTGCGGGCGGCGTTGGCGTGGGAGTGTGCTTGTGCCCGGGAGGAGTGTGCTTGTGCCCAGGGGGCGGCGGCTGCAGAAACAAAAGTAAAAAGCGCCGATACAACTTGTTCATTTCGTCTTTTGCGCGTTGAACAGGCGGCTGCTGTTTGTTTCTATGGGCTCAGAACTTGTTAGTCTCCGGTTCCTGTAACGTCGCAGGCGGGCTAGTCTTTTGTTTCCCGTCTCGTCTAGTTGATCGGTCGGTCCGCCGAAACTTTACGGTCCTCTGCTCGGGTCCACCGAGGCTCCCGAACCAGCAGTAAGAGAAGCACACTGGAGATCGGGCTGCTCTATGTTGCATATTTTGTTACATAGACGCGGTAAACACGCGGTTTAATAATAATAAGCACCACACCTTTGGATTTTGATTGCTGGCTCGCTTTTGTGAATTAACTACGGATCAGCAGCTGCAGAGGTGAGTCCTTTTGTTTTCATGCTGTTTTGTTTTCAGTTTTCTTTTGTGTCGATGGATAAGTTATTAAGGTTCATAATATATTTTCATACCTTTTTGGGTGACGTATTGGGTGACAGCTATTGAATGGGGATGGCGCACTGAGATGAGGCATAGTTCTGTGTGGTGATGGGGGTTGGACAGGGATCAGACCCCGATCGAGGGCTCAAAGTGTCCCTGCTTCTTTGAAGTTTTCATCTCGGCGTATCGGCCCCAGTTTCCCCGTTTGGGGGCAGGGGGAGGTTCGCCGAAAGCAGCTTCTCTTTCAAAATGCTAAGTTCAGCGGCTGTGTGTTAATTAAAACGAGACTTGTTTTAATGAAAGCGCGGTGCGTGTAGTTATGGTCCCTTAGTGCTTCATTATAAGAGGATTTATTACTGATCTGCTGTGCTGCCAGCACAAGTGAGGGCTATTTTCTTTTATATGGGTGATTTCCTGGTCATTCTCAACCTGCTCTCCGTGTAGTTTTAAAGTATTGTTAAATTTTAACGTGGAAGTAAAATTCCCTGCAAAATAATGGCATGTTATCCTAAAACAAGGTTAGGCAGCTAATTAAAATGAGATATGCTGACAACTAAACAAACCGGGTGCAGTTTTATGTAACAAATAGTAAGGACGGTTAACCAACACTAAAACTAAATAGAATAGGCCTATGCCTTGCCAAATAAGTGCAATTATTTTATTTCTGCAATAGTGTGAAGGTCCAATAAAGCTTAGGGTGTAATTTTGAAAAAGTTTGCATGTATAAAAAGCTAGCCTTTACGGTCTGAGATTAGCCTACTTTAGTCATATTTCCTAAACCCACATGCGTCCAATTGTCAGAAAAAAATCAGAACCTCTTTGGTAAATGCCCAGTTCCGGGTTTATCTCGTTTCGTTTGTAGGGTATTTTTGTGCAGTTTACGTGCAATTAATACTGCCCAAAAGTTGTGAGGCGAGAACGCATGGTAACTCCTCCACCCGCACCCCCACCCCCTAGTTATAAAGTCATATGCTCAAATAGAAACGGCGTAGTCACTGAAGGGTAATTAAAGATTCTTGTTAATAGTTGTCAAGATTGCCCTGCTTATTGGACTCTAGGGAACAACACATGCATAGACATAATTTTGAATGTTTTTCCTTTTTTAAAATGTAGCATTTAATACCATCATTCAACGGAAGACTCCATCTCTTAATTTAGACAGGATATCTGTGTCGATTATCAGTCGGATCTCAATTTGAGGGAAACGGTATATGCATCTGCTGTATAGGTTAGGCGGCCCGGTTCTGTGCTGCTTTTGGACCCCTCATGGTGGTGTTGTTAGATCCCAGTTTCCCGCGATGACGGGACCCCGAGGTACCACATATTGGTCCAGCATGCCGGTCCAGTCGGTTTCCCCTAGCGCAAAAATCCTGTGAAACGAGAATCCCGTTTAAAAAAAGAAAGGAAAAAAAAGGATGAGAAACTTTCCATTTTTAACTTTACCATTGGTAAAAGCAAGATGCTAAACTGGGTTTTGCAGGGACTGATTACAATATTATGCAGACAATTTTGGGGATCCTGGTTCAAATGGCACATTGACCAGGAAGGTCCACCCTGCCTGACCTCAGCAGCAAACCTTCCCACAGCCTCGCATGTGAGTGGTCTTTGGAGAAGCGAGTGTTCCTCTTTTTAGATGTGGTTTCTCCAGCTATTATTAGTGGCTGCATATTTTTTTTTTCCCTCACTTGACCGTTTTCTGTATCTCAGCAGACAAATGTTGAGCTGAATGGTTCTCTTTCATTTTGAAGCTCAGCTTTATTATGCAGCAGTCACACTCTTGTGTTTTTCAGAAGAACCGTGCTTCTCTTCCAGGATTTTCCCCTAGCACCCTTCAAAGTTGATAGGGCCAGACTGTTTACCAAGCCTGACCGGTTGTTTTCTGAGATCCAGATCCTGACTGAGGCAGGTGTGTAGACCTAATGTAGCTGGAGAAGGTGTAATCTGCCCTTGCTGGCCAGACCAGATCGAGACGTGGCATTTTAATTAAAAATATAAAAGTGAATCGAGGCATTGGCTAATGTCCTTGGAATTTCCGTCTGTCCATTAAGTCACGCTCAGTGTCCTGTGCCAAATTTCCCAAAAAGCTAGCGGCAGCAGTGAGTTCTAGGACCACATATGAATGGGACAGTGAAGTATTCCTGTATTTAACCAGGAGTTAGAAGGACAGTGCTTGTATTTCAGGAAGCTGACGTCACGTGTGGGCAGCACGGGGATCGACGCGATGGATCGGGACGTGTACATGTATTGCGATGCCTTGGTAGGATGTCTTTCATTCACCTGCAGCTGGAGCACATCTACGGGGGAGGGCGCAGTTTGAAATGGTTTAGCGGGAACACGCGGCGTTCCCAGAAGAGACCTCTGCGGTCCAAATGGGATTTTCAGAGCAGGGATGAGTTCGCTGTCGAGGTGACGGCTGTTCCTCCACCACGTGTGTCGCTTCCGAACACAGCCCTCCTGTACTGCAATTGGTCGTCCTTGGCAATTGCCCAGAGGGAGTGAGGCGATTGGTGTGTTGGAGACCCGCCCCTGAGCCAGAGGCACGGCTCAGGGTAGCTGACCGGGGGAGTCCAGCCACTGTAAAAGTAGAAAGTTGTCACACACTTGCATGCAGGGCTGTAGCGAGAGGTGTGCTCTGTACCGTCTGTCCCCCGAGGCTCACGCAGCGATGATTAAGTGTTCCCAGAACTTATCTGCTGCAATGCAAAAATATGTCCATCTGCGTCTCCTGGGGCATTCTGGGAAGGATTTATTGCTCAGGTGGGTTTGAATCCCGGTGAAGAAGGATTCGTTCTTTGGCCCCACCCTCTGTAAATCATGTTTAACACTCCTCATCAGTATCACCCTTCCATCCCTCTGCACACCTGCCTCACGCACATCTTAGAGTGCCCCCCCCTTCTCATTCATCTGAAAGCACCCAGTCTTTGTCACTAGGCTTCCTGCCATTTGTTCTGACACCCCCCCCCCCCCCCCCTCCCCGCCGGTTCAGGGTTTGTGAGCTCAGACATCCCATTTCATGGGGAGGGTTGGGGTACTGTCGTCATTCGATGCATTTTGGGGCCAGAGACCTTGTGATGTACCTGCAGTGATGCTGCTGTCACAGGAAATGTCCTGTGATGTGGCCCTTTGCTTCTCATCGTACACCCCCCCCCCACTCAAGTTTCAGGTCTGTGAACTTGGAGCAGGGTTAAGATTCTGTGACTGTGATGGGAAGGTTGCTGGTTCAAATCCCAGGGCCAGCAGAGTGATTGAGTCACCATTGGGCCCCTGAGCGAGGCCCTTAACCCCAGATTGCTACAGGTTCCGTCTGACCCTAATTTCTCACTTTGTGGAAGAAAAATTCTGCAAAAAATTTTTTAAATGTAAATGAATAGCAGTGCTGCCTACGAACAATGTACATTTTTAAGCTGATCGTTGAAGTTTTTCAGCTCCCAGAGTGACGGTTTGTGGAAGTGCCTCGTTTTTCTAGATGAACATTTACAGATGATGCAGATGTTCAGGTATGAAAGTTCTGCATTTGAGCATTTGATCTGCAAACCGCTTCTTAAGACGTTCGTTTTGGTTGTATTTCAACGGGTTGAGGATGATGCAGTTCGTCCCATAAACTCTCCTATTAGTTGAGGAGGAAATCTGACTTTATGTAGCATAACTTTAATATTAAAAAGATGTAGTCTGCTTATTTGGGTGTGAATTGTATGTAAATGGAAAAAGCTCCATTTCACTTTGGAGGGGAATCATCCCCCCCTAAGTGAAATGTGATACGCCTTGGTTACCGGGACTATAAGCCTTGGGACTGCGTTTTTTTTTTTTTGTTCTTTGGAGAGGGGGACCCGTGGCCACTCCCATATTTTTCCACCTTTGTCCCGATATTGTGACACACGTGACCTTTTTAATTGACTGGCCTCTCCTGTTTCAGCCTGGAAGATCGGCCCTTTTAACTGTCTTTACAGTGAGGCGTTTGGGCCGGATCCTTATAGGTCCATGGGCCCCCACTGGGAGCCCACGCTTCTGTGGAAGCTCTGTTTTGCATTTGCTCGCACGGCTACGCATTAACCTTGAGTGTGGGAAGGCGTCCTCCTGACTGAGGTCGGCTGAATGGGCTGATGGGACACAGCGTGCACCCCAGGAGTGAGTCAGATGGTCTTCCTGTGCTGGTGTTAGCTCCGCTGACTGCTGCCTGACCTTTCAATCAAAAGGTCGCGGGTCTGACCCCAGCCGTGACCTCTGAGCTGGCTTTAGCCCACGTTTCCTGTCAACAAAAAAACACACCCAGAGGGAACGATCCAAGATGGCTTCCCAGATGTGAATCTGAGCTCCTGCCCTCTGCAGCAAACTCATTTGACGTGCGTCAACGTTGAGTGTCTGTGCTCTCGGTGTGGGAATCTGGAGGATTGTCCTTTGGTGTTGTGTGGGGATTGGTGGGTATGTTTGTCATCAGTAGTATAGGATCAATGCCTGTGGAAAATGCCATTTGTGTCCAAATAAACTCATATATAATTATGTTTTTAAGGGTGAATGGCTCTTGCAGGTTTATAATGCAATGATATGTTAAACTATAATTTTGTGGTGGGCTTGAACAGGCCATTAAGACGAGGGTGTGGCTCCTGTTTGTATCTTCATCTCATGAGAAGTGTCACAATAACCATGAGTTAATTTATAGTTTAGGAATTCATTTGGTTTAAATTGAAAATCTGGTTAGAATGTTCTAGTAACACTCTGGGACTGTGTAGTGACCACCATGAAAATTCCCCTCCTCCAACCCCCCCCCCCCCGGCTGATCCAGTTTATCACCTTGATCTTTAAACCCCTTGTACAGAGTGAACCTTTGATTTCAGTCAACCCCCCCAAATGTGAGAAGCTAGGCTTTGTATTTTACTTCCCAATCTTTTTGTTTATATTTTATTAATTTCTCCTATTCATCTTCATTAATAGAGTACTGGATACGTTATTAATCTTCTTTTAGCTCTGGAATATGCATGACGTGCCCAATTTGTCCATCGGAGCTTGTCTAGTTTAGTTAAGAGCACGTTCTCCAGCAGGGCGCACTGGTGACAGAGCCGAGAGAAGCTGCTTTATGGTTTGCCTGGACCTGTTTTCCGTTTGTCCTGACGCAAAGCCCTGCTGTTCCACTTCCGCTTCCAAAATTTTTCACTGCCTGGGTACTAGATTGCAGGTTCGAATCCCCGACCAGCAAGGTACCGCCCCCAAGCACTGCTCCCCGGGCACTGAATTAGCTGCCCCTGCTATGTAACTGTCACCAGGGGCGCTGCTAGAGATTTTGGGCCCCATGAAAGCATATCATATTAGGCCCCCCAGTCCAAACCAATCCAGTTATTTTCCTAATTTTTTAGGGCCCCTGTCTCTCAGGGGCCCTTGGAATCGTCCTAGCTTTCCTCCCCCTTACGGCGCCACATTTCGTTGTTGTGTGCTGTGGTGTGTCAACAATGACAATTGATCACTAAATTCTAGATAACTGATTATCTCACTAATGAAGTAAAAGGTGAAAGGAGTGTCTCTCGATTTTAATCGGATCCTTTAGTACTTTCTGACATTTCATAAATGGAAAGATTGCTGTTAGATTACATTTCAGAGAAATATTTTGAGGAGGAAAGATCTATAGATGGTACAGTTAACTGCTAATAATGATTATTCTTACACCCATTCTGGAAAGAACTAGCAGATACGCAGCCTGTCAGCTGGGTTTTGTCAGCCCTGTATCTGAAGGTTAATCTCATCCTACTGTCCATTTAAAAATTGAATTGTAGTTAAACGTTTCTCTGGAGGTCAGAGATCTCAGCTGGCAGCTGGGTGGTCGTCTCCGTGGCCTCAGCCGGGCTCGTGCCTAACGCCGGTGTCCCTCTCCGGCTCCCCCTGCAGGCCCGCCATGGTGAACAGCCAGCTGCCCGGCGGCTCCCCCCCCAGGGCCTGCGCGGGCTGTGGGGGCCGCATCGCTGACCGCTTCCTGCTCTTCTCCATGGACCGATACTGGCACACGCGCTGCCTCAAGTGCTCCTGCTGCCAGGCCCAGCTGGGAAAGATCGGCAGCACCTGCTACAGCAAGGGCGGCATGGTGCTCTGCCGGGACGACTACATCAGGTGAGGGGGTGGGGGTGTGGGTGGGGGTGTGGGCGGGGTTTGGGCCCGAGCCTTGATGCCGGTTAGCACTCGGTTCCTCATTGACGTGGAACCCTTAATCGTAGGTGATCTTTTCCTAACGCTAGACCCCTAACTAAGCATTCTGGAATAGACTCCAGGTCCACCATGACCATGTTCTGGATAACTGGTGTTATCCAGTACATGGATACTGGATAGACAGACTCCATACAGGCTTTCACTTTCCTTAATATTCAAACGCAGGGAATATTCACCAGGGCTTCAGATAATGGGCATAAACATTTGTCCGGATGTCAGTTTTTTTTACACAATTTTCCCGCTATTTGGTAAGCACATTAGTAGTATGCCTAAAATATTGAGAAGCATATTGTGACACCCAATAGTTAATACGCCGAATTTATACAGATTACTATGTTTAATAAAAAGTCAGTTTAATAAACACTTTAAACTGTGGAAAGTACATCACACCACTGTCTCATTACCTTGTTTATCCACAATATCTCCTCTGCTGAGCTGTTCCTTTCTTCATCGCCACTTCAGTGCTTATTGCTTCCATGATTTACCAAAACAGTCACACGTAGCATGTTCCACATTCAGATACGTCAAATTTATACAGATTACTAACTTTTGGGCATCACAATACGCCTCTCATTAATATTTTAGGCACACTACTAATCTGCTTACCAAATTGTGAGTGTAAGTAAACGTCCGTATAGCACGAAAAAGACGGCATTCACACATGTTTCTCCCGTCATCTGAAGCTCTGCCGATTTATACAAGCGCCATATAATCGCGATGTGAAATACAGCAGCCCTAACAATTATCCATCCGTTTTCCGACATCCAATCAGTGCATAGTTATGGGGGGGGGGGGGGGCTGGAGCCCCCATCAGGAGTCGCAGGGAATCGCAGTCAAACACAATCACGTACTGTGGAGCAATTTTGAAGATGCGAATGGGCCCGCATGTCTTTGGGCTATTAGGGGAAACCCATCCAAACCCAGCGAGGATGTGCAAAATCCACACACAGAGCAGGGCCCGGGTTCGAACTCATGACCCTGGAGGTGTCGGCCTTAATCATTATTCGTACTTAAATTTTCTGACCTGGCGTTGCAGTAACGGTGAGGAAGATGACCTAAAGCAGTCAGCGCTTGCTGCACCGTAGTGGCCCTGGGCTGTCAGCCCAGCTTCTGAACTAAAAAGCAAAGTATATTTAGCACTCAGATGTTGTCCTGCATCAGAGATGTACAACTGGTCCTATAGGAGCCAAAACCCTTCCGTCGTGAGAGCCTTTTAATTAGTGCCTGATTTACACCTGAAACTCCAGGTGAGCAGGCTCGTTATCCAATTAATTGCTCCAGCAGAGCAATTAAGAGCCAGTGTCAAGTGAGATCCTGCACAGCCTGAGGGGAGCTGCTGTGCTGCGACGAAATGCAGACCTGCGCAATCCCTGTGCGTCTGCGTCATGCTGCATGACATCAGCAGCCGTGTCTCCCTGTCTGCTCTTACCTGTTTATCATTCCTAAAGGACTTGCTGGCGATTCTTACAGTGAGAACTTCAATATCTACATGTCTAATTCAACATATAATAAAGGAGTGATACTTTAATCCTTTTTGGGAAATCTCTGTTCACCAAACCTTGTTCTCCATGAGGTGACTGCAGGCTTGGAGGTCAGCACAGGGTCAGTCAGTGTGCAGCGCCCATGAAGCTGGGGGTTAAAGGTCCTTGTTCAAGGGCCCACAAAAAATGTGATCATTCTGCCAAAAAACCAGCAACCTTCTGATCACAAGCACATAACGTTCTTCCCAGTGAGGACCAAACTTCAGATTTTTTTGGGGATGGTGTGTGGCTCAGAGGGTTAGAATGTTGTGCCTGTGATTGGGACTTGAACCAGCAACCAACCAGCAGAGTGATGTCACTCTTGGACCCTCTAATTGCTCCAGGGACTGGCTGACCCTACCTTCTCAAATTTTGTAAATGAACAGTCGCTTGAAGTGGCACCAAGTCACCCTTGGGTACCAAACCAACAAATGTTTGTGTTGGTCAGTCTGGTTTTAAGGTCTGTGTGTGGTGATGGCTAAATCTTTTGGGGGAAAATAAGTAGTGATTTAATAAGTCGGGAGGGAGCACTTGAACCTGATAATGAAGCAATTTATACAACCAGCAAGTAATTACCTTCGCCAACTGAAACAAAACAACACCCCAATCCAACTTGTTTTTAAAGGTCTGAGTACAGACTTGAAGTAAAAGTAGGCTTGTTTTCGTAGCAGTAACTATGCTACACATAATTACTAGCTGTTTGCAGTTTGTTTCCAAGGTAACAAAGAACAACAACATTCTTCCAATTGCCACTCGCATTGGCTTGTTTGTTCGTTTTTTGATCACACTGAAATATCAGCTTACCGTTTAGAGCTGGTCGATAGTTACCCCGGCCTCCAGCTTTGTGAGCCAGCTCTCTGCTCTTGACTGTACTAATTAATGCCAAATTTCAAACAAGTTTGTGGGAAATGCTCTCGGTTTCACTCTGCACATGTAATGGGCTGACGATCCACCCCATCTCCGCCCGCGGTCTGGGAAAGCCGTGTTACTCAAATCAACACATGTCTGACATGTGCTGTAGATAACTCCCGCTTCTCTTGTGGCTTCAGGTCATTTTAGAGGGATTGTATTGCTCCGAGATGCTGGGGAGTCTTAGCTGGGAGTACGCTTGTATTCTTGCGCTATAATCGATACGACGTTGACTTATTTGCCCCAACTTTTTGAAAAGACATGGTTGTAAAAGTGTGACCCTCGCACGTCTCCCCATGGTTCACAGGTTGTGGTGGCTAGCACACCCTAGCCACCCACCCCCCCACCAGCTAATGCACTCCTAGCCGATTGCCGGCTTGGCGGGATGTGAGTGTTGCCTGAGCCGGCTCACAGAGATGTGTGGAACGGCGATTTGTTGCCGGGACATTCGTAACGGATTCCGGGGAATGCTTTTCTCTGGCAGTGTGTGTTGGTGATAAATCCTAACAAACGGTGATCGGTTTGGCTTTGACGCCGGTGACTCGGCACAACTGCCTGAGGAGACTTTCTCCCACCCTCATACTTTGGAAGCCATTCATATCCAGAAGTAGTATTTTCCATGTCCAGTGCCTGTGCCGCCAAAGAGGGCCACCCCCCCTCGGGGGGGTGTTGTCGTCCCGATTCGTTAATCTGCTCATTTCGTGCGCAGAGCATGTGATGTGTTCCGGGACCAGCCCATCCTCCTGAGGAGGGCGTGAGGCTATTTTAAATCCCATTAACGGAGCAGTGGGTATCTTTCTTCGCACGTTTAGGTTACATGTTCTGCTGACCCCTGACTCTGCTGTAAAGGAGCCTATTTTCAGCCTTGCCGGCGCTGCATTTAACCCCGTGCATCAGTAGCTACTTTAATTCTGATTCACTAGAATATTGTCGTGCAGAAGAATAAGTGCCTGGAAGCGGGATTATGCAGGTGGGGGGGGGGGTCCTGTCTGGAGGCATTTAATGCGGTAAAGACCGGAATGGTGTGCGTACATCAGGGATACAGGGATGTGACTCTGCTATCTCTAGATTTCTCACCTCCAGTCCCCTGTTTTTAAGGCGATGATACTCGGCAACTTTCTGAGCAGTGCTGCCGGGGAACTGCCAACCAGGTGAGAGGAGGGGTAACTCTGGGTGATGGTAAGAAAATTGCTCACTACCAGTTAAAGTTTTTCAGTTAGAAATTTGTTGCCCAATAGCATTGGGAAAGTGCCTGAGCAACATTGCTCAAAAAGTTACTGTACACACCCATTCAAAAACAATAACTGAGCTGTACGCAAGGGCAATAATGTCAGTCAGGTTGGATAAGTGTCAATTCAGATATTAAATCCTGTACTCTTAGTAAGTTTTTCCAGAGCCTGGAAAATCCGGGAAGCAGTTTAGTGGCTGTTTGTGAGCAGCATGAGGGTGTCTGGACAGTGTTTGGCTCATGGCCGTAGTGCAGGCCGGGGATCGCCCTGGGTTTGGTGCTGCCTGTAGGGACTGGCGCTGTGATGCTGGCTTGGGCCGTGCCTGGCTCTGCGGTAGCACCGGCGCACCGTCAGCTCCGGTTCCCCCTTACGCTCCAGAGTAAACAGCCGAGTGGGGCTGTTTGGGGAAGGCGGGGTGGGCAGCCAGAATATACAGGACAGATGGTGCAATCCAGACAGAACTCTGTCAAGAGGTGGCTTCATACCTCTGTTATTAGGACAGAAATCTTATTCAAAGGTGACCCAGATTTTTTAAGAAATTCTGTTTGTGAGTCTGGAGTGTTTAATTATCAATTCGCCATCTACCCAGAAGTCTGAGGGGCAGTGATGTCACAGGATACCGCTGGCCTTCGCTTGTCTATTTTTAACGGTTTTGAGTGTGGTGGTGGGGGGCAGTCACTCCGAGTGCAGCCTGCACGCATCTTCCAGCATTGTCACGCGTTTGTAAATGGCAGCATATTAAATATGTATTATATAGTTAATCAAAAGGGCAAGGGCTTCATTGCCAAATTGCACCGCATGGAGACTGGAGCCTGATAAAAGGACAAACATTAATTAGCAGCAACGCAGTTTCTCACTGGCATCTCTTATTGAATTACTGTTTGAATTAAGATCAAAAATTCATTACTGTGTGCAGAGCTGGTATGGTGGGGGGGTGAAGAGGGGGGGGTCCACTTGGTGCTGCAGTATTATTAGTGTATCGAAGTGCTAAAAAAGTGGCTGGGGTTAGCCACACATTTAATGCACAGTTGAGCATCTGAGGTAATGTGGTCCGGCGTGAGGGCGGGTCGCCCCGCCGGCAAGCTCAGGCTGCGGGGTCCGGCGTGAGGGCGGGTCGCCCCGCCGGCAAGCTCAGGCTGCAGGGTCCGGCGTGAGGACAGGGCGCCCCGCCGGCAAGCTTAGGCTGCGGGGTCCGGCGTGAGGGCGGGTCGCCCCGCCAGCAATCTCAGGCTGCGGGGTCCGGCGTGAGGGCGGGTCGCCCCGCCGGCAATCTCAGGCTGCGGGGTCCGGCGTGAGGGCGGGTCGCCCCGACGGCAATCTCAGGCTGCGGGGTCTGGTGTGAGGGCACGACGCCTGGCAGAGGAGACTGGGTCAATTAAAAAAAAATGAAGGTCCTTCCACACTGTGTTGGGCTGTCTAAGTCACCCATGGTGTTGGCCTCTTGCTCCGTGGCCTCCCGCATGCTAATTATCTGCACTTGCCCCCCCCCCCCCCCCCCCCCTGTTGGAGCCCTGTGCCAGTCCTGAGACACTTTCAGCAGCACAATGCAGTTAGTCTTTTCCAGAATGAGCTAAGGGCACTGTGTGGGGCTTCTCTCACATGTGTGCCATTTCATGGGGATTCTGCCCCCCACCTTTTGGGGAGGGTCTAACGAGACTGGTGCTCTGTGTCTTTTGTACAGGCTGTTTGGACACAGCGGGGCTTGCAGTGCCTGTGGCCAGTCCATCCCTGCCAACGAGATGGTGATGCGGGCACAAGGAAACGTGTACCACCTTCAGGTAAGTCCAGCCCTAACCTTAACCATAAGTAACCAAACAAAATGCAAGACTTTTGACAATTTTAGTTATTTGATTTCAGCCATAGATTTTTCAAAAATTTTCTCTTATGGACAACAAAATAATTGTCTCCACAATGTTAAAATAACAGGTTTTTATCACATTGTGAGGACATTTTAGTCCCCAAAATGTAATAATATACACATACACATACACACACACACACACACACTCTCCATTTCATCTCAAAGCAGGAAATTTTCAAAGAGGAGGGATTCATGGTCATTTTTAACCTGTGTGGATTCAGGCTCTGGCCTGGAGGATGTTATACCCTCCACTGGACTAAGCAGACGGGGGTCAGGGTACCACACTGAGATTGAATTGTGTGTGTGTGTGTGGGGGGGGGGTGTAACATTTTGTTTAAGTTGAACCTTAGTACTGGAAAAATTAATCATTTTAAAATGACTAACGTTGCATTTAAAACCCAAGGTAACCAATAGGGCCGAAAGCCTGGGGGTGACGTGACTGTGCCACAGAGCCCAGAACCCGACCGGGGGGGACAGGCTTTCCTGTGTTGTTCCTGCCCCTTGGACCCACTCGCTGCTTCTCACACATGCTGTTGCCTCCTCTCTCCAGTGCTTCACTTGCGCCACCTGCAGGAACCGGCTGGTGCCTGGCGATCGCTTCCACTACGTCAACGGCACCATCTTCTGCGAGCACGACCGCCCCGGTGGAGGGAGTGGAACCCTGCTCAGCGGCCACCTGCCCCCCCTGCAGGGCAACACAGTGCTGCCTGACCAGAAGGTGAGGGGTTGGGGGGGTCACTCTCCACCCAGGAATCATGTCCCCGAAGATGTCAGTGGTGCTCCTTGGGAAAGCTGTACTCCAGACGGCGTTTGGCACTAAAGGTTTAAACCAGGGGTGGCCAATCTTATCCGCAAAGGGCCGGTGTGTATGCGGGTTTTTGGGATAACCTGTAGGTCAGCTGTTCAAACCCAGGTGTGAGGACTCTTCAGCCAATCAGTCCTCTAATTAGTAATCTAATTAGGGAGTTGCAGCAAAAACCCGCATACACACCGGCCCTTTGCGGATAAGATTGGCCACCCCTGGTTTAAAGCACCTTAACCAGAGTCCCAGCAGGAAGGGACTGGATCTTGTACCTTACTGGATCAGCCTCCGTCCAGGAGTGTGCATACATCAGACAGTGATATTTTATTGAAGTCTCTGTGCCTTACAATCTGTCAACATGGCTGATGGACTCCTCTCGCTCTCTCTCTGTCCGTCTGTCTCTCTGTCTCTAGGTGTGCTGAGGTGTCTGTCTGCAGCTGCGGTGTGCCTTTGCCCTCCTGCCTCTGACCCATCAGTCATCTTGCCAAGACTCCACTCTGGTGTTGCTGTTGTATGCCCCCCCCCCTCCCCCCCCCCCACCCCAACCCAACCCAACCCAACCCAACCCAGAAACCACACCCTGCCATCAAGCTGTCGCTGGACCACAATTGCTTTGAGACACTGACGTGCTTTTCATGTAGATGTGTTTGTGTTTGAGCGAACGGCTCATAGCCCCGGGACAATCGTGAGACATCACCGGGTGGCCCCCAGCCCCACGGTCTCACGGGGGGGGGGGGGGGGGGGGGCTGCATCTCTCACAGCCAAGGAATCAGTATGGGATCAGGTGGGGGGGGCTGTGTGGGCGGAGGGGACTTAGGAATGAGATACATCGCCCATTCTGCCTCAGAAACATTTAGCAGGCTCATTAGCAGATTTAAGACCCCCCCCCTTCAAAAAAAGTGTTCTGTTTAACATTTGTCTTGTTTAACAATTGTACCCCAAAGATGGACCAGCTAAGGGGTGAAGCCAGAGGTTAAATGGGAAGGGTGACATGGCTACTGCTCTAGGGGATTCTGTAAAATTTGGGGGGGTTGGAGGGTGGGACAGAACTGTAAATATGTTTGGGTTTTCTTTTTTAAAAACGGGACTGTATGTTCTGTGTTTGGATTATATAGCTTCTACATTTTATTTACCAATGGATGTCTTTAAGATACTGTATTCAGTGTGAGAAAGTCGCTTATTAAACGATGACGGTGACGATCGTGGAGCTGTGTCGCGTCTGTCTGTGGTCGCTTAGCCGACCCATGGCGTGTCTTATTGGCGGCCCGGTCAGCGGGAAGCGGAGCCGTCCGTGGCGTGGAAAACACGGCCGATTAACCGCGGGAGCAGAATTAAACTGACCGTTATGGAAGCAATTAAGTGAGCGCTACGTCCCCTTTGCAAAGGATTATGGGAGGCTGAACCTGGGACCGGTTGTGCAGTCGGATTTAATGATGCATAATCGGAGAGCCAGGCTAATTACAAGGGTGGCAGGCTTCCGTTTGGAACTTAAGGCAGCCTAGTAAATTTCGTTGTTTACCAGTTTTTGAACTAATTTGTTTTTTAGAAAATCGCTCTCCCCGTCTCAGCTTACTGTGCTTGCAGCTCATTCCAGTCTAGTTATTACTAAGTAGGCCTATGGCATTAAAAACACACAAATTGCACATTTTTCGTTTTAAACTACCTAGCACACTTAATTGGCTAGTTATGTCCATGGTGGGCTGATAGATGCCTTGGCTTTCTAAAACTATTTTTTTGTCCATCTCTCTTTTTGATGAAAGTGAACGGGACAAAGAACTTCATTCGAGTTTCCATGGAGAGGAAGCTGACAGACGTGAGTACTGTCAGTTTGTCAATTATGAAGAGACACTCAATCATTAAGGTTTATGTATTCAAATTAGTTCAGTGAATTTACAGGGATCTGAAACCGTACGGAAAGCAGGCAATCTTAACGGTACCGTTTGTGTGTGTGTTGGGGGATATGACACGGCTTAAGTGCTGATACGGCATCAATTATTTATTCCACGTCTGGCAGAGACGCATCAGGCAAATTCATTAACGTATGCAAATGCTCATAATTGCAATTATCGTCATATCTTGATAAGGAAATAAGAAGGCTTCGCGCAATCCGAATCCCACAGCACAGCGAGTTGTGCTTTGCATTCAAACCAATCAAGTCTCATCTGCATATTACTAATTAGCTGAACATATTCAGGTGCCAATTAGCAGGTCTCATAAATAGATTCTCTCGGCTACGAGTCTTTCTTCTTCCCCCAGAAAAGTTTGCAGGTATATAGACTTGTACGACAGGAGTCGCATACAAAAGTGTTTATATTCACTAATTAATCAAATTAACACATGCAAATGAGTGTAATTGCACTGAGCTTCTTCACCTCCTGCTAAGTAAAAACCGCTAAAGAAAAAGACAGGCCTGGATATTTTTGTATGCGGTATCCCAATAAAAGAAAGTGCCGCGTTCAGCCTCCCCTGTGCGGCGGGCCCCTGTCCGTGCTCCGGGCTGCCAGCGGAGCCTCTATCCGCAGACAGTAGACAGGTGGTGTGCAATGAATCATTTCCACAGCTGAATGCGCTCCCGGTGCAGGAGCGTCTTTGAAATGATGTAAAGTCTTTTTTTCCGGGCAGTTAATGACTTCTGTGCGAGCCTGCACAACAGGGAGGAGGACCCGCGGAACCGAGGAAAGAAAAAACAACTCGGGGAAGCGGTGACAGTCCCAGCACACCGGAGCTGTGTACGAGATGCATGCATGTCGGGGGAGGTTGATCAGCGGGTTCAGCTTCGCACTGAGCCCTAAACGGCTTTTACCCGATCCCTGACCTGCGGGTTGCGATATCCACCTCAGCCGGGAAACGCCAGGTTTTCCGCTGCTCTGCACGACTGCGCAACAGGGCATCGCCCCGCGGCTCACAAGCGTCCGGATTTGGACCAATACATCCGCTCGGCTTCTCTGTTGATGAAATGGTCCCGCAAGGAGACGGGGTCATCTGCGGGCTCTACAATCTGAAGCTGCGGTACCGCTTAAGGGGAGCCCATGGAGGCGCTCAGGAGCACGTTAAGCTCCGGCTCCTCTGCGGAGATGAAACTAATGTTAACTATGTATGTGGGCAACCATTCAAAAGGAGGCATGAAACATTATTTATTTGGGGGGGAGGAGCGCTTTGAAATAAACATCAAAGTTACGGTCTTCCCGTAGATTAATCAGCTGTTAACACGCGTCGACTGTTTAGTTATGGGAATTGAACCTTTAATGACGACGCGTTTTATGAGAATCTCCTGCTCCTAATAACTGGTTTACACAGCTGGACGTAGTTGACTTTCATTATATACCAAAAAAGCCCGTAACAATCTGGCCGATGCTCAAAACATGTTTTACAGCAACGTGTTCCGATAAATGCACCCACGGACTGGAGGTGGACAGCTAACGGACCGAGCGCTGCTGTCCAAGACGGACGGTCGTGATGGAAATCCGCCGGTCGCCGGGTCCCTCGGAGTCTTCGTTGTTTCTGCTACTAACGCAGAAGCAAAGTCAAAGGAGGGGGAAATGACTAACTATGGATATAAAGTGATGCAGGATATTGAGAGGGAAAAAGTTCCCCACCCAATCAGAATGCTTTGAATAATTAAACTGATCGGCTTAATTAGTTCAATTAAGTTAATTTGACCACGGAACATGGCCATATGGTGAGAGGAAACAAAAGAGGGGGGAACTAATTAAAAGTAAAATAATGAGGATTTTAATTAACTCGTTCCCCAGACGTCAGCAAGCAGCGATCTGGAGTCTGGTACCGTAATTAAAGTGCTGTAACGCTGGCAACATATCTTTTCTATTTTTTTCCCTTATTTTTTTACAGTGAAGCCTCCATCCATCTAATTAAATCTGTAAATAAATTAGCGACATCGAGGGTTCCTGCTTGACTTAACACCCCGTGCACCTCGCCTGCTACCCACACCTCCCTAATAACTCCTGACACACGTACACCTCTCCCTCGCCACACCCACTAATATTAACATTAATTTCAAATTGAAATCCTTTCAGTGTCATTCCAAGGTGGCAGTATGGCAGTTCTGCCTAGCGTGTCCTCATCTATGTTGAGGGGTCACAGTATGCATGTGACTGCAGGAAAACCTTGCAGGCATGCGTGTATGACATCTCCAAGGGGATCTGCACTCTAAACTATACTATACTACACTATACTATATTATACTCGACCTACATGTGCAACTCATTATCATTGCAAGGATATCCTCAGCAACATATCTGGACTTTGCACCCAATCCCAGCCCAAACCAGAAGTCTAACCTGGGCTTTGGCCACCCAGCATCCAGCCCTGGACGGTTCCTGTGGCAGCGGGATGGCTACGGACACGGTTGCCGGGCAGAGTCCGGGAAGCGAAAGCGTCACATCCTTGAGGAAGGTACTTATCTTGAATTCCTCCAATTAAAGATGCAGGTCTGTGGATGAATAGAACTGAAGTGTCTTTGAACAAGACAGTGGGCCAACAAACAAAAAAAAAATAACACATTTCGCCCTGTCGCTCAAAGGTGCCCCCACACATTTACCCCCACCAAAGCCCCACCCCCTCGTTTTTTCTGCCTTCTTTGGGAAGCAGTTTTTTTAATTAAAAGATGAGTTCATTTTAAACAAACCAACGTCTCCCTAAGGTCCCCGCTGTACCGAGGTTCTGCAGAGAGGCGGGGTCTGATGAGCTGACACTCTGCCATTGATGATGTCTGGCTGGAACCATGTATGCGACGTTGGTGGGGGGGGGGGGGTAAGGGAGGAAGAGCGACACATGATCTATTGTTTACATCCCGTCCCACTGCAAAATTGGGCTCTGGGCCGTTTGCCGGAATTTTTTGGGAGTCGCAAGCATAACAGACGTGGTGGCTGGCCCCGCATCCCTCGATGAGCTTAGCATCGCCCCTGTGGTACTTTGCGCTCCAGGTTTAAGAGAGGTCACGGCTCAGGCACTCCACCAGGGCGTCCGATCAGGGCTTTAGCCGTCTGAGGATCCTCTAATCAGCCATGTTTGCATGTGCAAAATCTTCTGAGCGCTGGGAATCATCCACCTCTTAATCCTCGTGTCTTTAATCGCACAGGTTACCCATCAATTATGGCTGACTTAGCCGCCACACGGGTCCACAAACGCAGTGCTGCATGTTAATCACTCTTAAAACACTGTGTTTAGCCCAGTGTCCAGAACTGTCTGCTCATTTCCGACACCTTTGTGCAAATTAGAATAATAATAGACTATTAGCATTGAAAACATTCTGTGCTAGATAAACAGTTGTGGAAGATGGATGCATGGATGGATTTTCACTGACTGGAGTCATATCTCAAATATTAGCTGTAATAGTTGCTGAGCGGAGCTTTGCCACGCAAAGCATGCTGGGAAAGGCATGATGGCACGTGATGAGAGTCGTCTGCAGAGCGGCCTGGCCCAGGCCTGGCCTGGCTGCTCCTGCTGTGCTCAGGAGCTAATTAAAGCTGATTAGGGCATTAATGAGCCGCTTGGCCTGATCAAAGGACTGTAGCTGCCGGGTTGG